TACCAGGATCCGAACCTACGACATGCCATGGATTTTAAATCCGTCATGATATTGACTAATTCATTTGTCATTGATATTCATTGATATTTACTAAACATTCATTTGTATGTTTAGTGAACTTGTTGGAACATTTGAAGCATTACAAAATCCTGTAAAATAGTTTTAACCAGAAACTTTCCTAATTGCCAAGCGAACACCTGGTTACATTTTGGACGATTTCATTCTGGCGAAAGCAGGAACGATGAGCTTGTAGGAAACCTATTAATTTCCTGTCTACATGTTTCGCGGTTGTCATTCGTCTGTTATTATTGACCGCCGTCCTGCATGTCCGCTACGTGCGCTAGTGGAGTGTGTCCTCATTACCCTCATAGCCTAATTATTGATGCGCAGAGACTACGAGCATTGCGCGTGCCAGCTGACAGCTGCGCTACCCGCGCTTTCACTACGTCTGCGTTCTCGCGGGAAATCTTTGCGGCAGTACGGACATCCGATATTGAATACTTTGACACGGACTACTTTCTAGATTGTGATGATACATGAAAATAGGATAGCGGGGTTTATTCCTTCGTGTCATTCCGTCGTCCAAAATGAACCAATAGTTGGTTTACAACTGTTATGATACATACACCTGGTAACACTATAATCGGGAATATTGCTCAGTGTAATTTAGTACTCTACTCTGAATGATATCACCGTAGAAAATTAGAATTATTCGCTTTTAAGTGATTATTTTTCATTTAAAATTTAAAAATCCGTCACTATTTATTGTTTAACTTGACTTTATACTCTACTGTATGTATTAGTGGCATATACTATGACATTTTGTATATACTTTGTGGAAATACACTATTCTTTTAAAACTATTGTTTTGGCAATAACCCAGTCATGATTGATTTGGCACAGCTTCACTTCACTGACATAATACGACCTCAATAATTCCTAAGTACACATCATACGCAGTGACGTAAACAAATTATAATAGTAACTTTGTACTTTTAATTCTTTCACAGTTCTCGTGAAATGCAATACACGCATATCTTAAGTTTAAATCTATCATTAATTGGCAACATTGTCGGAGAGCTCGACAATCAATCTAGCGGCACAATGAGACAAACAGCCTTATATTATCTACAATAAATCTCACCATTTACGGCAGTCAACATTTTACAGTTACAATTAGCCTAGCTGGGTTTCGTTACATAAAACACCGACAACTCTGATTTCATACATTACTCAGTTATGGCCGTAATTGCCTTATTTCCCACACCTCTCTGGCGACTACTGACTGGTAATCAACGATTGCTGTAGGTAATCACTGATTGCTGGCTAAGTGTCCTTGGCAATGACAAGCGTTGTGGGGTTTGATCACTGATTATTGGCTATTAAGAGAACTAATTTGTCTTCAATTAACGACTGTACAGTGTACAGTCCCCAGCTCCTTGAGGTCAGACACGTGCTACAATATTAGAGAGTCGTAATTGTAACATATCACTACATGAAAAGCTGTAGTTTGATAAATGTAGGTAAATAGAAGTGTGTGGTCTTGCAATGTTTACCTTCCAGCGAGTGACGTGGGTTGCAGGGAAAGGTTATGTCCAAGTGATTTACGACGTTCAAACACGGACCGGCAACACTGTTCTTTGTGGATCTGACGTCAAAGCTTACAGGTATTTGGCTCCATTCTCAAGTCAGAGTCACGACATCAAGTTCTGGGGCAGTTTAAACTAATGAAGGAAAGGCACGAATCATCTGTGGAAATTCGGATGGTGATCGATTGGTTGAGAAATTTGTAATATCCCTCAATGGGCTTGTAAAATTGACTTTTTAGCAAAGCCAGATATGTAATATGTTTAACAAATATAAATGTAGTGTGGTTAATACACAGCCTTTGTGCGTGTTTAATTTGAGCTTATGGGGATTTGCCACTGAAAATAGGTAAAAATCATGAAAAATTTTCAAAATATTTTTTTACATTTCTTTGTACATTGGACCCTATTACATCCAAAAAGTATGAAATAATCCATGTATGAATGTTATTATATGTTATAACCAAGGGGTTTCGCTCTTACCAATAGCTACAAGATCATAGGACACCTTCTTATTCAAACGTGGTTTTCCGCAGCATTGAAATTTCACGTTTTTCAATACAAAATTTGATATATCTTGAGAGCCACTAAAGGTACATTGTTGAAATTCTTACTACTTATTCTAGACAGTATTAGGAAAATATTTAGGTAGAATTAGGTATCTAAGTTAATTAGGTACTGAACAATAAAGTTTTTTTCAAACTAATTCTTTTTTCTGAAGAAAAATTATATTTAATGTGTCACAGCAAAAAAAAGTATCTGAGATATTATTATGAATCTACCTAAATATTAAGTTTAGATAACTGTCTTAAAAAAAAATACCCCCGCCGCAGCAAACCTGCAGACTAAGCGAATTTCCATTTGACTGATAGGATTTACACTGAAATGTCTACTTAAAAATATAACATTTATTCTTGATTTAAATAGAATTAGTTTAACAAGTACTTAGGTTTGCTGCATCAGGGAGGGTAAAACTGTTTTTTTTTGTTTTTTGTAAAATGTGAATAGTTAGTAAGAAATAAAAACATTTTCCAAATTTGATCAAAATATGTTCACAAACAAGCAAACTACAACAGTTTACTTATTCTCCATAAGAATAACATGGGAATTTTAAATGTACAATTTTTTGGTATTTTCTCCGTAACCATTAGGCGCATAATAATGCTTCAATATACTAAATTATTTGTTTTTTTAAGCTCTAAAAAATGGTTTGGAAAGAAATTGCTAAATTTTATGTTTTTTGGGTCAAAAATGGGAAAAACCTATTTTTACCCCATAAAACCCCCCGTAAACCCCCGTTCCCATGGTCCGATCATGCTGGATCGCAAACTCGTTCGTATAAACGTACGTTTACACGTTTGTACCAAATTTCATCAAAATCGGATCATTCTTGCTCGAGTTATCGTGCTGACGGACACACACACACATATATATATATATATATATATATATATATATATATATGAATTTGAACGGATGGTGTTTTTGGCCTCTAGGGACCTCAAAACGAAAAAAAAAATCGGTCCCGCGTCCAGGTCTTACCATGAGTACTACGGTAATAGCTTATTCCCTATATGGGAAATTCGCTAAAAACACCAAATTTATCAAAATCCATAAGAACTCTCTTCAGAATATAGATTTTTAAAACCCCTTACAAATTGATCGAAAAACCTCTATTTTATTTTTTTACCACCTATAATTTATATTCAGAAGTAAACCAAAATTTTTCCATTTTTTTTTAAACTATACTTAACTAGAAAAAAAATAGTTTCACGACTTTCCTCATTAAATAAAAAAATTCACCCTTTTCAGTGGCGAATCCCCTTAACACAAATAATCATGCCATAAAACTTACGGGGTGGTCTATATTATAAACATAAATGTGAACGTTCCAATTTAGAAATATGATATTTTTTAAGTCAAGTTCTAGGATTGTGCCCCAGTCCTCTTGGAGCCCTCAAGAAGTTTTGTCATTTTAGACTATCTAGTTTGAATCAGTCATAGTGTGGGTTACAAACTTATTTAGGTTAATCCATAGTTCAACCTAAATAACGTTTTTATATCCATATTAAGAATAAAAAACTTTTGTAACATCACTGATGTAGTAAGGTAAAAGTAAAATCTGACTCTAAACATAGGTGCTGACATTCTCCAATATTCTTCCAACAATACAAGAGTTATATTTGATATTAATTGTCACAACTCATAATCCAATATATTTTCTCATTGTACAATACAATAAATGCTTTTCTTTTGAACTGTACAATTTGTTATCATGTATAATTTATTCACTTTTTGTTCTGTAATATAATTTTTCAGCTATTGCTGTGGTAAGCTATTACTAAATGGAAATTCATTTAGGTTTGCTGGGGCTGCGGTATTTACATTTTTATTCTAATTCAATTAGGTTAAGAGTAGAGTGTTTATTAATGTTTATTAAACAGACAATAATTCTGCATTTAAGAAAATATTTAAGTGAAAATTCAATGAGGATTGCAATCCACTTAGTCTGCAGGTTTGCTGTGGCGTAGGTATTTATAAATTATATTTTGTAAAGACATTTCAATTAAATTTTGCCGACTGTCCAAACTTGAATCTCTCTATTACAATATATTCATGACACACTAATAATGTTGTGAAATTATAGCAAACGCATAACCTCTTAAAATTTTTTCCCTCATTAGTGCAAGGTGAAATAATTCTTCATAAATGCGTGTTTAAGTCAACGATGTAAAAAAGTTGTTTGTATCGTTTGTTAAAGTAAAGATTTGTGTTATTTCAAACGCATGCTATGATTTGATATATTATCAAGTAGCTAACGTTATTTATCTAATCGTATATATGTGTGCAGCACTGCTTATGTTATGTAGATGAATGGAATTATTTCATAGCTACGATAAATTAGGAGCTAGTATATTGAAAAGGGAACTAGCTGGTCTAGGGGTAGAGCGCGGGACATCGGTCCTTGAGGCCCCGGGTTCAAATTCCGCCAATTCACCAATGGATGTCATCTGTGATAATGCTGCAACCCCTAGTTCTAGCCTGAAGTAATGTGAAAAACAATCCTGGCTTCGTGCCTAGCGTCTTAGGACAAAAAACTATATTGGATATAATGATTTGCCGATAAGTTAGGCTTTATGAAACACAACTTACATCTTTACAAGGTACATGAAGTTTATTAAAATTTCTTTTGCATATAAATACACTGTTATTTCAAATGAACTTAATATTGTACAAAATTGAGGTAGCAAACGTGTGATGTTTTGTACCAATTTACACGATAATTATAAGTCAAAGAACACATGTGGGAACTGACGGTTTTGGACTGCGATATTTTCCTTTTCTAAATAATTAATATTGAATTTTATATGAGTGTTTCTATGTACATAAATTTTATTTATACAAGACTTAAATTCACAACATGCAGTAAATAAATAAATAAATAAATAGTTGGCAAAAACAAAAACTCCTTCTCTAGTGTAAGTGTCTTTGTCATGAGCAAGTACTTCAGCAGTAGCAGGTAGCGTTCAACCGTGGTTGTTCTTCTGAAGGCCGAGTCCTACTGCGAAGAGAGCAAAGAAGAACCCAGCGAACCCTGTAGTTCCCACTATAAGCACCAGCCCACCCAACAACAGTGGTATCAGCGTGAAGAACTTGAGCTTGTAAGCCAGCAGTAGTGGCAACATGAATTTTCTCAACTTCTTGAAGTCCTTCAGTTTTAGGTACTTTTTCGACTTCTTGCGTACACGCTTGGTCTTCTTGATGGCCACTGGCTCCACATAGGACTGATCTGTAAAAGAATACATCATATATTCGTGTTTTATATGCATGCAGGGTCCTAAAATCAGGAGGGATGGATTTTTTTAACCATCTGTTAGAACAAAGTTTACTTCTACTGCACGTCAAAATTGTAAGGTTAATGCAGTGGTCAGTGAAGGAAAAAAGCAGCGTTTCAAGTGGCAAGAGGACAAAAACTAAATGACTCTCACTGGACTAGCACATTTTTAAGACCTCTCTCTTTTGTAAAAGCTTGAATGATTTTGCGTTTGAGGTGTCAATATATTTTTCTTAAAGTTGTATGTTTAAATATGATACAGCATGTTCAATAACTTTACACTAAAGAGGAAGTCACCCTCGCTTACATCACAGACTAATGTTGCGATGTAGGCAAACGAGATAGTGACAACGTAGTCTTTACCAATACACCGTACATGTCACCGTATTGTCTAGTCTAGAGAATCCATTGCATAAACGGGCTGAAAGAACTAAGAGACACGATTGGATGTAAACATCTTAATTTCTCAACTGTTGAATTCATGTTGTGTTATATAAGTGTTTAATGTTAAGCCATATTTTGTATGACTAACCTAAGGCACTCTTTGTGTAGGTTTAACAAACCACAAAAATCAACAATCCATCAATAATGAAACCTACTTAGTTGATATCTTACGTAGTTTGGTAAATTAAGCAAACGATGCATGAAAACAAGATACACGTCAGTATTTTCCTTGTCTTAAATATTTCAAAGGGGTTCAAGGTATAAGGGGTTCAAGGTATTTCGTCAACTAACTTACCAGCTTTGATTTAGAAATTAGTAACGAAATGGATATTTGTGAAAAGTGCATCTTTATTAGATGTTACAACTTGTGTAGTATTTTTGAATTTGTACTAAAGGATGATTTAAACCTTACACAAACAAAAATGTCCAAAGCCTGTAAAGTGTTTATTGAAAGTCTGTAATGTATAAGTACAACACGCTCCTAGAAATATTTAGCCTTGGCGCTACTTTATATCGCACTGCCCTGCCCTCAATTATTGTAGGTAGTTTTCTCAGAACACTGAAATGTTGGTATGCAATAATTTGACCACTTTATTGTGTTTTTAAACTGGCCTTTTATTGAACCTGGTTGTTAGCGGTTCCGGTCTTTGGTTGTTTGGCAATAAAATGGAACTACAGCTGCTGGCTTAGCTTTACTATCTTTACCTTGAGAAATAAATAACCTAGACATTAAAACTTTCTCTTCCCGCTGCAAGTAATTGAAACCCCTAACTGATAATATTAACAGTGAAAAGCACAATAAATGGTCAAAAAATAACAATATTTTTCGGAAGTTATTCTAAATATTTGTAAAAGCTATACTTCAGAATTTTTCCAAGGTATGGTGTTCGGCGTTGTGATGCTACTTTATGAATGCGAAAGTCAATGTGGTGAAAATTTTTGTATGTTATCTTCTAGGAGATTCCCTGAAAATATAGGAACATAGAATCGTTACCGATACATGTGCTTCTTCAACTGGACCGCCGAGAACACCAAAAACCCTGCAGTTTTCTGGTATTTCATAGGTTAATACAACACTTCCTTTGATTTAGTTTCATTAAGATCAATTATCCAATATTTTCTATAAGTAACCTATCAATAAAAATATTATTTCATTAAAATCTCTATTTAAAGTCTTTCACCCATGATCTTTTTTATTTATGGTTCAAAACTGGACCCAGCTATACCTGCTCATTGGGCTTTAAATGGATGATCCTGACTAATGTATCAACTTATCTTTGTCCGTAACAAAGCAACACAGATCATCACACTATATTCTGTACTCATTTATCCTTCACTCAAATTTGGGTTAAAATACACACCCATGTGTCGTCCCCACCTCAATGATTGATATTGGTATTCATATCATCATAATTGGATCTGGTTAAATATTGCGTTCCTAAGGATAACGTGCTCTTTGTTATCTTCAATAATCTTCAAAAGTCTTCGAGCGTCCTTTCTCAAAAGGACCTATCGATTTAGGGACATGTGGACGAATATACCAATGTGCTAGTTCAAGTAACTAGTTTTAAAATACAATCATGTAACTACTATACTCAACCTATGAACCTCTCGCCTACGACATAATTATAAAACCAATCCGTTATCGAAAGCCACCATCAACAACAGTTTTCATATCATTCGTGATGCGTGTAATCATGAAAAGACATCTGGGTTGTTTTCGTAGGTTAGGATTACGAAAACAATAATTACATAAAACATTGCCAAGAGCCTCTAGTGGTTATGCGCAATCGAGTCAACAACCTGTCTCTGTTTATTTTATGAGTCAGCTGTTAGGACGCACCGCAATCAGCTGTTTGGCCGGTAATGTGCACGACCGCCCGCCCAGCCGCCCAGGGGTCTCCTCCAGATAAGGTTAACATTGTTAGGAGTTACAACCATTCATCCGTAGCATCCATGATTTACCAATGAGTTGATAAAAGCTGGTGTTTTAGATTATTAAAATTAAACTGCTTTATTAATAAGTGCAGAGATTTTTAAAAACAAAATTGAAGCATTCCAAAATCAAACAGCAAAATAAATGTGATCTATATTGGAACAGTAGTTTAAGCAACGATCGCGTAAATATAGTCTTAACGACTCGAATATAAATTTGAGGTACGAGTCTTGGTGAGTCATTTTATCAGCTGTTAAAACCAATTCAATTTATTAAATAATGAGTGAGTGATTGGGACAATAAGCAGTTGCATCACCCCTAATCAGTGGGAACGATAGGTTATTATACATAAACGAAAACATAGCCTCTCTTAGAAGTTATGGGTAGTGATTTTTAGTAATTAAAAAACGGTCGTAGGCAAAGTAGTGTACGCAACTCGCGTGATTAGCCTTTCGACACTCGTAGAAGTTTTATAGGCACTCGCCAAGGTTCGTATCTTAAATTTTATACTCGTGTCGTAAAGACTCTTGTTCTTAACACGATCGTTTCGTAAACTACTATTTAAATAGATCAGTTTTGACAGCATTTCCCGCTTTACACTGTAGTTGCAATTGTTTTGGAGGTATTGGTATTGATAATGTGTATTAGAAAAACCAAGTAGCCTACTTATTTACTAGGCTTTGACATAAGAAGCAGGTTATCAAAATAACTTGAATATTAACTGTCCGATAAACGTTTAGTAGAGACCTAGTTTATTGCTTTTGGATGAGTTTCTACGTGCACGCCTTGTTTCATTCTTGTATCAACTCCCCTTACTTTGAAACTCACATTTTGAAAAGTGCAGCGCAGTAACTGGTTTAGTTTACTCACTTTAAGAACAATTTCATATGTTATTTGTTGAAAAAATTACTTATTTAAAAGTAAAAGTTATTCTTTGAGCATACATTATTTACCTTCTATAATATGATAAAATATCATAAACAGTATTCAAATAAATTTTTATGTTTTTTAATTTTTCAACTCTCTTAGCCTATTAAAACTATTTATGACGACAATTTTCGTACAGATAGCGTAAACAAAAATGAATAAACTCAACATACACTGAGCTATACGTGCCGATGATTTAAATATTTGTCCACCGTTGGCATTTCTCACTAATCTGAAAGATTTAGGTTGCGTAAAAGAAAATTGCCTCTTTGCGAATAAACAATATAATGTGCAATCCTATATCTCAATAGTTGTTTTCAAAGAAAGGAGTCAAGGTATACACGATCAAAATGTGTTCTATGTCAACTACAACCGAATCCCTATAGCGTACAATTTAGCCTCACCATCTCGGTACAAAGTGTCGGGTAACCACAGTGTTTAGCCCGGCCCTCACCTTACTTCTCGTGATCTCTGTGTAGCCTCTCTTCGCCCTTGCCCCGGGGGTGCAGCCCCAACATTCCCTATTGTTGTCTTATCATCCATATCGTGATAATGTCCTGAGGCACTCCCGTACAATTAGCATGATTCCCAAAGTGGCGATTAGGTTATGAAACAGGAGTAGAAATACCAAAGGTCCGCACGACGGTGGCGATCGTACGTCACAGTCCGATGGTCAGAGACTTTGAGTGTTTAGGCTTCGCTGCCTGACCACCAGGAATGTCTTTCGCAATATATCTGAATCATGGAGATAATCTAGGTTGTGAAAGTAATTTAGAGGAAGATCGCAATAGGATTTTTTATTTTCAATTTAACTATATTATTTTTGTTACTACATCATTTTTAAATTTTAGCATTCATGATTCCAATATTAGCCTGAATATTGAACTTACTGTTGGAAAAATGTGATTCGCAATTAATTTCAAATTCATCAAATCTTTAACATAAAGTTGCCAGAATTTAGATAGATAGATCTCTTGTGAACTTTTTGCATATCTTACATTATTAAGATTTGGCTGTAGCTACAAATGAATAGAAACATATTTTTTTTCATTTTACAGTCATCCATAATGTTATTTTAAGCACATGAAATAGTTAGTTATTTTCGAAAGTATCTTGTTTAGGTTATTCAAAGAATCTGTGAATTAAAATAACTCTTGTCATTGCCTGAAAACATCGTTCAATAATCCTGGTGTGATCCAAGAAGAAAAAAATGCTTGCAGAGCTCAGGGATTTCTTAAACCCAGAAGCAACTCCAAGGTTTTGAAATTGATTTGTTAACACATGACAAAACTCTTAGATATCTTCTGATGACTTGCAATCACCTTACAGATGACAAAGTGATAGTACATTGTGTGTGGTTGATGGGAATACTATTGTGGTATCAAGGTCACGTCTAGCTCTGTATCACTCTGGAGTCAGATCTGCCATCAAGCCATTGGTCCGTTGATAGTTGCCATCAGGGGACAATTAGCCATTTAATGGAGTGCTTGGCATCGAGCGAGGCTGTGGGAACCACCACTAGAGCGTTATATGACGTTTAGAAACCGATGTGTCAGTCGTTTCAAAAACAATATCCTGTGGTTTAGATATTATTTTAATTATTATAAATTATTGAACTAGGTATTTTATTATTATTTAAATACAATGAAATGAGTTAGGGTTGAAAATATACTTTTTTCCTGTGTGATGGACTATATTTTTCGGCAATACTGCATCATTAGTTAACAAACTAGGATTTGAAACGAAAGTACTTTTCTTAAGATAACCTCTCAAATGACTTCTAGCTTGTTTTCAATTCTGCTAATGTAAATAAGTAGCTGTTTACTAAGTAATTCAAGAATTTCTTCTCTAACGATTGTGTTACTGTAAATTATTATTATCGATATGTCGAACTAGTAAAAGAATGCAACAATAAGCTAAAACGTTACTTACTAAATCCATCGAAAAATTATTTTGATCCATCTGATTGCAACAATCAAAATTTAAAACTGTTTAAAATAGCTGATTTTTACTCCCTAGAGAGTAAATAAAAAAGGCTGTTTTACTTCAGTATCACAGGAACTATCATGGGGAAAATCATCAAGGGGAAATAAAGAATATTATACATTAGAATACTCTGTTGGCGATTCAATCAGCTGTGTTCTGCTAGAAGACTACAGCTGGTCCACATAGATGGGATGTCTACTTCAGAGTTTAAAAGGCAACGGTACAAGTCGATAGGGATATTAATTTGTTGGGATTCAATAATATTTGTACTTTCTATTAATAAAGTGGCCTAAAATGATAGAGTGCACCACAAATTATGTGTACGACCTATGGTGATTGTATAATATAAACTTAAGTTCATTGATGGTAAAGGTTTTAGTAAAGAAAACTGATGAGTCCCAGGATCTGTACCAACTAACCCCTTGATTGCTGGATACGTTCAAACGCACAGGTTCACAGCCTAACTGGACGGGTAAGTGTTAGGTTAAATGAGGCCACCAACAACTTTTTGTAAAAAAAAAAAAAATAATCGAAACACGTGCAAAATACCATTTACGTTTGGAGACTGGGGCATTCCTACTTATTCATAAGGATCGTATACTGAAATACACTCACTTGAGCCACTCATAGAGTTTTACCCTTATTTTTAATTACTGAGACATTGGTGTGATCGAAATTGATCGTGATGGTATTGATCAAGAGAAATTGTCGTTCCATTTTTACTCGGTCAAAAACAACTCAAACAAAAACCAGTATTTTACATCAGTGCGCTCTGTTGTTGACTTTTAAATGTTGTATAATGCCAACAAAAAGTAAAAAAATGATTAAACAGAAAAAGTAATCTAATTACCATACACGACAGATAATCAAATTATATTTAAGGATTGTTATGGCTGGATTTAGAGATCTCAAATACCTACTGATCATTTATTCATAGACTAGAAGAAACAAAGATCTACATATTATTTTTTATGGCTTTACATAGGAGCATCCTTAATTTGTCCCAACGAATATTATATTTGATCGTTATATGATGGAAATTTAAAACTAAGATGTAGATCCACTAGTAATACTGTATACCAATTATTAAACAATATAAATCACTTTGGGATACTATTCATGCGGCTCTCATTTACTGATGTTTATTTGTATTGTTAAAGATACATTTTCGTGCAAAGATTGTCCTATAAAAGCATTTCCCTGTAAGATCCAGACGTGGGAAACATACCGCGGTGACGTCTGTAAAGTAGGGCCATTCAGCGTTACTGTAAATTAGATTTGGGATGGTGACTAATGTTTATAAGTTGTTATGCAATAATACTATAACTAGAAAATCTATTTTCACATAAAAATAAATCAGGGTCATTTGTTAAGAGGACCAATTTTACCGAAGTTTTATGTTTTACTTCCAAACAACATAAACAGCCTAACTTAAAAGAAGAGTTAAGGTTGTAAGAGTTAGAAAAAATCAGTAAAAAATGCATTGAAAGTATTGCGCCTGGTTAATGAAATTTTTAGTCGAATTTGGCAGTATTTTCCTTTGCTTTGATAGTATTAAAAGGTTAGTGAGTTTTACTAAAAATGTATAAACTCGCCTACAGCATTCTAACCCCTATTAAACTCATAATATATACTATTAACAAATCAAAGAAATCAACGACATATGTGTTATGAAATGGTACAGCTAAATACCTACAGAAAAAAATATTTCAAACAATCCTGCAACCATAAAATCACATGTTCATTAGACTCATATGGTATGTGAATAGTAAATATTTATCTTAGGTTCGTGTTTGGTTAGGTCCTGCAGAAGTCACGCTATATTAGTGAATTATTAGTGAGCATTATGTGACTGTGGTGATGTTTTCCTTCTTTGAAACTTCGCAATTCATAGTCTTTTTATAGGGTAACATGTCTAGCAGATGTAGCTCACAGGATGAGGAAGAAATCATTTACCGAAAAAATGGTACAGTACTTTTAAGTATATATTTACCACCTGAAGTCGTGATTCTGATGTTGTGTTTCGTTCCTTGGGAGGATCTTCCCGCCTGCCGAGCTGTTTGCAAACTCTGGCGTTCTTTCATAGATCGTGATGTTTCGGAAAAGAAACTAATAACAAAGTTCAGAATGTCATATTTTTCAAATCGTTATAATGGATTGTTTTTAAAACACAAAACTCTACCCTTCTTCATTAAATATGCTATTTCCCGAAAAGAATTCGGAAGTAATGTCTTGTCTTCAATCATTGGAAGTCCAGGGATTAAAGATCCTAAAGTCGTACCCACAATGTGGAGGGTAACACTCAACTGTTTCGGGCTCAACACCGAAGAAATACTAGCAGATGTCCGCCATCCTAACCTAGAAATATTCATTTGGTACAGTTTATATCAATCGACAGAAAGCATCAGAATATCTCTAATAGATGATGAAGGCGAATGTGTATTTTACTCCTTCCAAAAAACTCCCTCAGATGACGATGATTGTGAAAGGATGAAGAAGGTTTTTAATTTCAATGATCCAGGACGGTTTGACGTTTTGGGGAGGTACCGACCTCGTCTTCGCTCCGGTTTTCATATCGAGATCGCATACCTATCGTTGACCGTCCTCACTCCATACGATTTGTTTACAAAGAAGTGCGAATCAGATCTTGAGGAATCAGGCAGGCACAGCGTTTAAATACAAACTCCTGACTCTTGTTTGTCATGGAAGAAACACATACGATTTATCAGAACTAAGGTTCAATTCATAAATTTAAAAAAGTTGGATCCTTTAAACAAATATTACTGCACGGAAAATTATATTCGTATGTGTCAGAACATCAATTTAGAAGGAAGTCTGATCAAGTGTATACTTTGCTAGTGGCTTTATGTGCAAGTGTTAATAAGTTTAAATCTAAATGTATTTTTAGACGGTCACGGTACAAAATAAACTTAACTTTCTTCACGCAGTTCACAAAATGTCTTAAATACGTTGAACGCAGCTGTGATGTCTAAAAAGTAATTTTTGTACATATACTACGTTAAATCTGGGATTTCTTTCTACAGTGAAATTCCACCATATGCATCTCACGTCAGATTACCTTACACATCTCATAAAGAGCTGCTTTACAGTATGACTCGAATTAATTTTATCTCTCACTCTTTTTCATAGCCTACATCTAAAAATTAAGTACGAACTACAGTGAAATCATTATAAATTATTATACATCAAATTTTCGTTTACAAAACTACAACAACATGCAGCCAAAGGTATTAATTTGGTAAATATAACCAAACACCTTTTTTCTCCTGATCTCCCTCTATATTTGGACTGTATAATGTTTTGCATAATTGTACCGTAATTTTGATCTCTATCATGAAATACATTTGTTAAATTGTTAACAATGTTGTTATATAAACAGGGAAACTGCCTTGCACAAATAAAATAAGAATAATTATTAATCTCATGCTTTCTGCAGCGCTGCAGTGTTCATGATAGAAAAACTTACACGAGAGCCACGCTTAGAGAGTTGGCGCTAAATTGAGACCAATGTGCCTTGACATGACCTGTCAACACGGTGGGTAGTTAACGTTACCACTGACGTTGATAGGTTTGGTCGATTATTACATTTTGTTGATTTGAGAATTTGTTAAGCACGTTTATATTATCTCGACTAAAGTATCAAACTGCCATTTTCGACTTGGTACGGTTTAAACTATTTTATCCTCAGTTTGTGACTAGTACTAAATTCCCGCGTAGCAATCAGGCCGATACTAGATTAATTGAGATAAAGGACATTTTACAAGGTATTTTATTTCGATCGAGATTAACAACTAACTGATATTATTATTTATTCCCTATCTTAATGTAAACAAAAACTAGTTTGTTTTATTTTTATATTTTCATGGTGTTGGTTTCTGCACGATTGGTATTTTTTTAAGTCTTTTGAAAAGGAAGGATCTTTTAGAAGGTCTTAAATATAGGATGTAAAGATATCCATCAATAACAGCCAATGTATTTAGATATCAGGTCAAATGTCTTCACTCATTGTCTGAAGATAAGGAGATCGTACCTGACTAGCTTTTTAATCACAGGTTACCCTGTATACAAATTTGCACAGCCCTAACACGTCTAGAAGAAGGTCCGTTTAAGAAGTGCAGGGTGAATTGCCAATTGCTAACGTCTAATACAAGTGAAGTTTGATCTGTAAAAAATCGTAACCACATACATAATGGTATCTGCAGAACTGAAGAGCCGCTGTCGTCTCATTGCCTATAAAAATGCGGTTTACTTATGTGTAATTATTAGCTGACTGCTAGATAATAAAAATTACAAATATAATACTTCCAAATATAAAAAGACAAAATTAACGAAGAGGTTATTTATGTTCCTCAAAATGTTTGTGGTATCCGAAATAAATATAGAACTTTGTAGATTTCGATCACTAGGTTGACTCGTCTTATTTGGTTTTAATAACTTGTGCCGAACTTCAAACTTTACATCGATGTGACCTACAAACATCTAGGGTTGTGACACTAACCTTCATATTCGTGTTTGTCGACTGGCTCTGGAACTTCTTCTACGACCTCCACCTCCTCTTCTTCCTCTTCGTCATCGTCATCATCATCTTCTACGTCAAACTGATCTGTGATGTCCTCTTCATCGTCATCATCATCGTCCTCCTCGTCATCTTCCTCTTCGTACCTTATGACTGGCCTACGCCGTCTCCTCGCCAAGGCGTCCGCCTCCGGGGGCGTCGTCGTCGGTATTGCTACTGGCACCACCTTGGGAGGAACCGTCCTATCCTCTGGGAAACCGACTATCTTGGAGGATAGAGTGATAGAGTCGATGGGAACTTTTCGTTCCCGCTCGTCAGAGACATTACGGAGACCTCGCACATCGACGTCTGCTTTAGTCTGGTTCAACTTGACACTTATCACTGGCTTCGGTGCTTTCGTTGTGAATCCCGAATTCTTTAACACACTGTGAAAGCTCTTTGTAAAGTTTGATAAAATGGGTTTAGGAATCAAATTAAATTTAGTCCACACTACCTTATCACCTTCCCAACTGTCCCCGTTGTCGTTATACACGATTTTAAAACTCGCCAGTAAAACTAGTAACGTTAAGCTGAACATTTTTATCGATCTCCGAAGGCACGCATTTTCCTAGAGGACACCGACCACCAACAAGTCAAAATCGGAACTGACAAGGAGTGTATTCCTCTTTAATCTGATACCGCTTCCTGCCCCCTCTCTTCCTCCGTGCCTCGCTTCACTTCCTTCGCATCACCGACGACGTCGTCGTAGTCCCCAGTCATTGTCCCGCTTTGTGCTTTATGTTGCTGATTCTCATAACACAACACAGCACAACAACACAACGCTTACGTAGACGTTCTATTGTACTGATGCACCGTTAAAACCACCTCTACCAGTTGTCTGAGGAACAATGGAGGATTGCTGGTGGTTTGTTGAAAACACGACATCATTTATAAATTGTGACCCACCACCTCCTAACAATATTACTGTCATGCAATGAGCTGGTCATTCTCTTTTGTGTCTTGTTCCTCATCCTTAGAAAATGTCTTCTCTTGGAAACGATTTGGAGTGTTCATGATTTGCTTTCCTTCATGAAGGTCCTCTCGCAATGGGTCCCTAAGGATCAAAGTTATATTAACATAGTATGCTACATAACCAAGAAATTAAACATGGTCTCATAATGTTTGTGTTGATTAGTTTTATTTTAAATATCCAAGCATTACAGGTTATTAAATAAGTTTATGTACCTAAATACTTATCCATAAAATCCAAGAAGCTAATGCATATTAAGTTTAAGCTAATTTACAAATTAAATAGACGGATGAATTAAAAATAAGTGGTGCTATCGTAAAAGAAAACATTATACTTTACTTTGTCATTTTGCAGTATTATTTTAAACATTTGCACTAATGATGTTTATTTCCGCTCCTCTTCATGTAATTTGTTAAACGTAGAGTCCTCTATGAAGATTGCAACATTATTAAATACATTATAATTATAAGACTTAGTTTTCAGTATATAGCCTATCTGCCTAAGTAGTTCCTATGGAAATGAGTTACATTTCTTCGTTGTCCTGTAGATCATATTGAATTTAAACACGTTTTTAGTTTTAAACTAAAATATAATTTAACATAATTGTGCAGTTTTATCAGTTAACTAGCTTACTCGTTGCACGTTTTAAAGTTGCTTCGATTTCAAGGAAATTAACCATTCCATTTTGAATCTCTGGAGGATCTTTTACATTTTTAGAGCATTCCTTTTTTATAAATTTTAAAAATACATAATTATTATTTATCTAATTAAACAGTAAAACGCCATTTTGCTTCAAAACATTTAATCAAGTGCTTTTTTGTAAACGGTATTTTTTGTTTTTCCGTTTGGGACATAAAGAATAGATTGTTTGGTTTTCCAAAGTGAGAGAAACTCACCTAAAGGGGGTTCGGAGGGTTGTATACTTCCCATGTTAAATTTACTATTTTGATGACCCGTTTTCTCAGAAACAACTATAGGTACAATGTTGATTTTTTTTTACTTGTTTTATGCTATTTTTTGGGAACTTTAACACAAGGTTTGTTTATTTAGTCAATTTTTTTCGGCTTTATGATTTTTTAAATATTTCATTTAAAAAAAAATCATATTTTTCCAAGTTTTTTATTGTAAAAATATAATTGAGCTTCATAGTACAAAAACCTTGTGTTAAAGTTTGCTTTATAGCTCCAAGAATATGTGGTAAAAATTTCAGATCTGTATCTCAAGTAGTTTTTGAGATAACGGGATATATGTAAAAAAAACACTGTTATACGGAAAAACGCGATTAAAATCACGTTAAAGTTAAAACACATAAATTACGTGTGACTTACTATATAACTGACCTGCTTAGTGCATTCCAGCACCATAGGCTGGTTGATCTGGGTCTTCTGCATCTGCAAAAGCTTCCTCCAGCTTCCTTTTAGCACTCTCACGGCGTTGCCTGGCTTTTTTCATGAGGTTCGACAGCATTCGTTCTCCCCTCTGCACGCGTAGTCTGTCCATTTCACTAAAGACAACACTTGTATTTTGGCTCACAGTTGCTCCAAGCTCGTTTAGAACTAGGCATCTAGTCACATTGCCTTTGTTGAAGCTCAAAACAGCATCATAAACACCAGCCAACATGGTTTGCATGCCTATAAATACTGTTTTCGGAAGCCGCGACCAAATTACGGCATTCACCGATTCATTTGGATTCTGTGACTTTCCATGAAGGCATTTCTTCAACAAAGCAGGGTTAGACAAATCTTCAAATATACTTTTGATTTCTAACATCACCACCTCAGGAATGTGAGTGTGTTTATTGTGGTCATATGTCTCACCTTTAGCTACCGCCCGCTGATATTTGCACCAGCTGAGTTCGCCTATATCGCACAGCCGATGTTGAGGTTTTTCATTTGATGAAAGCAGGTGAAAATATGTAGCCCACACTGCTGTTCTCATTTTATTTACGTCACTACCAGGTTTAGCTGTCCTCCTTATAGCTAATCCATAACATTTTTGGATGAATAAAATCCGCTCGTCAGTAAGACGATTTCTCCCACCAATAGTTTTACCATCAGATAATTTTTTCTTTCCAAATTTTTTTTTTATATTTTTTAGGCGAGTACCCATTCTCTTTTGGACATGTCCACAGCATTCCATTTTCTCAATAACATAGTCATCTCCATATGGCCTACTATCATTCACAGAACTAAACGCACTGGAATCACCATCGCCCAAGTAATTTTTGTACTTTACGCCATACTCCGGCTCTGATCGACGAAATATTTCAATTGCTCCATGCACTTCCATAGCACCACTAGTTCCTATAAAGTTTGCTTTGCAATTTTCTGCATGAACACCCAGTAATTTATCTTTACAGTAACAGAATTTACTGATAACAGCAACATCAAGAACGCAGCCTGTGTCTACACTTGTTATAGTTACCACACCGTTATTTGAGGTATGACCTCTCTTCTGCCAGGTCCCGTCAACCGCCACTGTCAGTTCTCTACATCCATTATTTTCTAAAACAGCTTTCTCAACAGCTTCCTTCATTACCTTTTTACATACATCCTTGGTGGCTTTAGCAATGACTTCATTATACCGGTCGAATTTCGCCGGAGGCGGCGGCAAGTTCAGTATTGCACACAATGTTTTAGCCGAGGATTGTCCTTTTCCAATTGTGCGTAGACCGTACACAAGCCTAGTATTGATGTCATACAAATGAGTACCTTTTGTAAGATTAGAATTACTGTACAATACCTTTGAATCACAACTTTTACATTTTAATTCACAGTTTGTTGCCAACCCACCTAACCTATTTATGCTGTAAGCAAGTTCTGCACCACAGGATTTACAAGCACTTATGTCTAATATACTACTAAGAAGAGATTGAATATTCACTATGTCCAACACACTTTGGTTGTCATACTCACTATAACTAAGCCTTGTGTCCCCTATCTTTTGTTTAGATGAACTAGGCCTATTAGGTAAGTCACCAAAACCTATGTCTGGAGTGTTCAGTAAACCTAGGCCTACTGCTTGGATCAAAGGCTTTTTTGGAACTCCTACATTCTTCCTTCGCTTGAAAACTCCTTTTGGTTTTGTCATTTTCGTAAAATAACGTTAAAATAACTGAAAAGACCATTCACTTTCACTAACAAAACACGGTAACTGTGGTAACACAAACTGTAAAGAAACACAGACAGCAAAAACAATCAGAAAATTGTTCCAGATGTTTCTGCTAAAGTCAGTGTGACCAACCAGACAAACTGAAATCACTTATTAACCGAATTTATAATACTGTATATTATACTATACTATACTATGTAATATATACTATATGGCATGAACTTTTAGACAAATTCTAGCGTACTGCTGCGTTGTAAAGCGTTCGTGGTTTGGCGCGACTGAAAAATTTCGGGAAAAAAGCATGACATTGATCTAATAAAAGTTTAATAACTTTTTTTCTACATGTCAGATATGTATGCAGGTGGTCTTAAATTAATTCTAAGGTGTTAAGGATAACAAAAACATTAAAAACAAAAAACTGAAAAAAAAAAATTAACCCTCTGAACCCCCATATTTATTTGATTCATCTATATATATAAAATCCAATGTATGTTTGTATATTTGTATGTTTGTCCTTTATGGACTCCAAAACCACTCGACAGATTGTAATGAAACTTTTAGGCATTATTAAGCATTATTCAAGGATGGTTTGTGTGAAGTTTGGTACAGATCCGTCAATAGGGCTCCGCCCCAGTGGCTCCGGAGTTTCCCATGTTAACATTATGAGTACTCATATTTAAATGGAATTAAAGAATCTTAACAGCTGGTGCAGCTAAACAATTTGATTCTGTGATGTTCAATAGCATTAAAAAGTTAATAGGTTTACCAACAGGGTGCAGCACTATATTTTTTTTAATTTATGAGAACAGCTAATTTGCAACCAAAAGTTGAGTGAGCGTAGCGAACGAACTTCAACCTGGAGGCGAGTTAGCGTAGCGAACGAGCTAACCTGAAGGCAAGTGAGCGCAGCGAACGAGCTCCAACCTAAAGGTGAGTGAACGTAGCGAACGAACTTCAACCAGGACGTGATTGAGCCATGCGAACGAGCTCATCTTGAAAATGAACGAGCATGTGACATAAAACCACAATAGGACAGGACGACGTCTGTCGGGCCAGCTAGTTTTAAATAAAGATTAGTTGCTTGTAATCAAAGCCAATCCAAACGCATTATCAACTCAAGTAAGCGGTTTTGATTGTTAGAACCATAGTTTTACTAGTCATATTACCAACACCAGGTACAAAACTGTTCATGACTGCCCGGGTAAATAATTTGAAATGTTTTGTGTTGAAAACGATTGCCTAAACCAGCGTGATTTTAACCTCAATTGGCCATATACAAGTCGTGTGCTGTTCCATGCCACTGGCTCACATTCCTGAACATTGGATCATTATTGATGCAGATGTTGAAACTTTTGGAAATACATGACTTATCGTCTAGCTTTTACTGAATATGAATGGTTTGTTATAGTCAAACGGTTTTTAGCTAATGAAGTTTTCCACTACAGAAAAAATGGTTCCCGTCTGAGAGACCTAGGCGTATTCACTTTTGTTT